GACAGTAAATCTACATGTTAATAGGTTAAAGAAGTGTCGGAACACTCAGCTGACCGATAAGGCACGCGCCGTGGCTGATAACGAGGTGGTACAGGCCACAGCTGTTCCAGCTGAGATAAGCGACGACGTCACGGGTGATGACGCGCCAGAGGCCGATGGTGTCGTACCCGGGGAGTTAAATTGGGTTGATGGACCGATTGTAGTAGAGGACAACTTCATTGATGACGTTGTCCATGAAATTGAACCGGTCGAATTTGAATCGGATGACAGCATGTACGAACCCCCGGATGATCACCGTGATGTTGATTGGGAACCACCCGTGGAACCTGTATTACCACCAGATGAGTTAGGAGGTCCCGCATATAACACAAGAGCGCGCGCTAGGCAATAGTCATGACAATAAACTATTAGGAAGTTTAAGTTGACAAAATTACTATTATATGTGTAATCTGGTCCGAGATATGACGACATTGTGGTAGAGAGGGTAATTATGTAGAGGAATGAATTATGAGGTCTCCTAAGAATTATGTCTCATATTAGTAAACATTAAATATATATATATATATATATATATATATATACTTTACTTTCCAGATATTTTTCAATATTATATATTAAAATTAGACACTCAACTGTATAGTGTTCACAATTGTTTGACCATAACATATCGATTTTATTGTATGATTTTGTGTTAGAAGAATGATGAGTTTTGTGCAATGATAATGGGACATTTTGAACCAACCATATTAGCGTGGGTAATAAGTTACCTTGTTTAGCGTATTTTGAAACATTTAACGTTTGTGTACAGGACATTACTCGATTATAAGTATTTTTTAAATTCTTACTATTAGCTGTAGACATCTTAATTTTACTCGTGTGTAGTGTGAACAAAGACCATTGCTTATAATATTAATTAGATAAATAAATGTAAGGTGAACACAGAGGTGGAGGGCAGTTAAAAATGGAAGAGAATTACTGAAAAATGATCATTCTTTACCATGAGTATCGAGTATGGAAATACTCACTCTATTCAGTTTACTTATGAAAATAACTTGCCTTTTTTTTACGTGATACTGAGTGTAAAGTCTAGTCAAATGGATGTAAATATATGCTCTGTTGGAGTCATGTGACCACAAATATGCCTCGCACATGGTCACATACCATTTCTTCATAAAGACATTATATTATGAATGTTTGAGTTAAAGGCACATACCTGGTGGTTCACAACTGGGGACAGCATGAGTGGCTTGGGCTCCGTGGGTGTTGCGCAGGTAGATCTGCTTCTGGTGGAGAATCTGGCAGTGTCACGTAGTCGTACTCCTGCGGTGGCTCTGAGGACGGAGGAGGCCGTCGGGGCGGGCTTGGAGCAGCTGATGAGCGTGCTGGAAATGGAACGCGCACGAACCTTGGAGCATGAGGAGCCCCAGCAGAAGTTGGTGCTGACCGCGGCCGACCACGGCCTATTCCAGGGATGGGCACCACCGGAAACGCTGAAGATGGAGCATTGCAGCGGATTACCGAGAGAGGGAGATACCCAGCTGCACCCGGAGGACTTGAGTTGGCTCTGGTTCCAGCTGCACATGGAGGACTCGGGTTGGCTCTGGTTCCAGCTGCACATGGAGGACTTGGGTTTGCTCTGATTCCCAGTGGATAGATGTATCGACGGACAGCCAAAGTCTCAGTGTCTAGTGATATGACTACGTGTACCCACTCCGGCTCAGTGTTCGGAGGTACGCGGGTGTAGCAATCTACGCCAAGCTCTACAAGAGGCATGATGACAGTCAAACACGGGCAAGGACTAGGAGCAACTGAGGACAAGTAGTGCTGGTTAGGGAGTGACTTGCGGAGGCGTTAGGAAGAGGGTTTGATAAGGCACCCACACTCGCTCAAAACCATGAGATACTCTAGTGCCTAACTGAAAATTCAAATATATATATGCGTTGATATTTATATATTTTGATGTGGTTATTTTAGTATTCATGAAATAGGGTTGCTGATGTACTTTGTATACGAAATAAAATGGTGTACCCTTATGTTACTATATTAATGCGGTAGAGGTAATATGTATGGACATGAAACCATTTTGTACACACTTTATTAATTGCCAATGATTAACCTTAATTTTAAACTTTTTGCTTTTGAAAATATATTAATATATATATATACAAATAAATTTAATGTAATTGAAAATGTAAATAAACAAAATGTATCAATTATATTCTAAGATTTTATGCGTGAAATTTGGTATTTAGCATATATTATTTGTTGACTTTACTAGAATATAATCATGTTCTTGTAAAGCCTAGGCATCTTGCTTATTGCAGTATTGAGTCATTAATTAATTGTTGCTTATTTTGTGATGTAGCTAATATTAATTGTGTTGAAATAAATTACTTCATTAGACAGAGACTTGAGGGGACCGCCGGAAGGAGGTCGCTATCCAACTACTGATAACAACCCACTCGCGATAGACTGCGACCGACAGCTAATATACAACTGGTATTATACATCACCATACTAACAGGCTGTTATTGGAATTTAAAGTCTTGAAAATCAAACCCAAAGGGTATGATTTTCTCTTGCGGTGGTGCGAATGTGATGATGAGCAATGTATATTTATTAAGCAATGTATATTTATTAAATTCAGTCTAAGGGAACAATAATAAGTCAAAATAAATCTTTTATTAATTTTCAAAATTTATTGAAAGTTGTAAAAACATTTTATCTGTTGACACGCGCTCGTCTCGAGGAAGTGTACTTCCTGTGACGATGTCCCCCACTGTCCTGCAAACCCACAACCAATGAGAGCTTTCCTTTTCAAGGATACTCCATATATGGTAAATACAATTAATAAGTAACAGTAGAGGGGATAACTGTCACAGAACTCTTTTTATAATTTTTAGACAATCATTCCATCATCAACTTTCGAACTAGTAAGTAATTCCTCCCCCCTCTAGTCTCTCTCTCACTTTCTGGTTCACTTAGGTATTCTCTATCATGTAGTATTTCTATGTTAGTATTTAAGATTCTGGAAATTAAATAATAATTAATCCTTTTAGAGATGAACTTGCGTATCTAATTTAAGCATATGAACTTACTTGAGTGTAAATTTCTTGATTCAATTTAAAATGTAAAATTAAACTTGTGTGAAACTTTAACGTTTTATTTCTTCTTTGGTTTTATCCTATTAACTTAGTTAACCATGCTGGTCAGGCATAACAATACATAATAAGATATAGCTAGATTTCTTACATTACACGTATACCTCAATGTGTTATAAGGCGGGAATTTTTTTATTGACTTACGAAAAAATAAACACTAAAGTGCTGGTTACAGATTAAAAGATTAAGTATCGAAATAAAATATGGATTAATCAGTTGCAGTGTGTGCTCAGATTAAAAAATAAATTAACACAAATAAAAAAAGTGGGTTTCAATCTCATGCTATTTTGTTTGCTATCACAATCACATAATACAAGGGCATTAGCAGACATAAAGTGTTCTAGTCATAGGGAACTGAAGGTACTGATAAGTAACACAAAATAGTTGGTCAAATATAAAATTGAAATAATATTGTAAAATAAAAATGAAATGAATTAATAATTAAAAACAATATGGCAATATAAAAAAGTGATCACTTTGGTGAAGACGATAAGTGTTAGCATCGACTTTTTAACATCTAATCCCAGGGCAATCACCTACCAAACCACTAGTTACTCGATATTCACAAACGATGGCGAAGATAGTTTTAAACAAACATAAACAAACAATAAACTATCGATTTAAATGGTTTTTAACTTAAAATGACCAATGGGTGCTGCTAGCTTCACACCAGCAGTGCCCACTTTTTTTCTAATTCTAAAGAAACTAAGGCCAAACAAACAACGAAAATAGCTAAACAAACCTAAACAAACAAAAAACTATCGATTTCAATGGTTTTTAACTTAAAATGACCAATGGGCGCTGCTACCTTCACACCAGCAGTGCCCACTTTTTTTCTAATTCTAAACCAAATAAGGCCAAACAAACAACGAAAATAGCTAAACAAACCTAAACAAACGATAAACAATCGATTTCAATGGTTTTTAGCTCAAAACGACGAATGGGCACTGCTAGCTTCACACTAGCAGCGACCACTTTTTTCCTAATTCTAAAGCAACTAAGGCCAAACAAACTAAGAAAATAGCTAGACAAACGATAAACAATCAATTTCAATGGTTTTTAGCTCAAAACGACGAATGGGCGCTGTTAGCTTCACACTAGCAGCGACCACTTTTTTCCTAATTCTAAAGCAACTAAGGCCAAACAAACGACAAAAATAGCTAAACAAACCTAAACAATCGATTTCAATTGTTTTTAGCTTAAAACGACGAATGAAAAAACTAAAACTAAAAAACTAAAACTTAAAACCCACTTTATTTTTCGTTTTTAAAAGCAACTAAGGCCAAACAAACGTCAAAAATAGCTAAACAAACGATAAACAAACGATTTAGGTTATTTTGAAGTTTATTTTAAATATGGGCGCTGCCAGCTTCACATACCTAAGTTATAGTCTTATTGGTACCAAAGATTGTGTGTTTTATCGTCCTCTACTAAACTCACTAAAAAAGTCACTGAATGTTTGCTTGATCAACAGGCCAGACACCCTGTGTAATTATTTGTGTGTACGTTACTTTATGAGAATGCCCACCCCTCAATTATGTTGTACTGAGTATGGCTTTTGACACAGAACGGCGCAATGGTTGAAATGCCTTGCGGTCATGGTGGGAATGTCAAAATGACTGGAGGTACGATCATCGAAATGGACTTCGCCTCCTGCGTTCGCGGAACTATTGTGAACATCTCACCGGCGTCATCGTCACTTGGGATGATTTGCCTAGAGACACTAGTTCAAAATCTTTTAACTGACATAACCTAAAATAAAATAATCCAACCCACAGACCTCAACTGTTTTGTTGTGTATATTATAGATCTGCTAATTGTTTTGTTGGTTTGTTGCAGACCGACAAGAGGACTGGTAAGCCCAAAATCTGGATGTACAATGACAAAGCTACAGGAAGACCTAAGGGAGAAGCCACTGTTACGTACGACGACGCCAACGCTGCTAAGTCTGCCATCAGCTGGTTTGATGGTGAGAGAAATTAAGTTTAAAAATATATGATAACATAATCAAAATAACACAGAGTAGCATGTACAATCTTAAGCGTATTATGTCAGCGAAATGAAATTATGTGACCAAATTACTTATCGCTTCATTTTTATCACGCTAAGAATTCATTTAATATTACTGTATATAATTTATTTAAATGCTTCCCCCATCAATCAATATTAAAAGAACTTAAAAACTAAGTAGTTTTGATGAAAAAACTGCATTTTTATGACAATCAAAATTTAAGTACAATTCCAGGTCTTTACGGTTGAATGGACACCTAGAGTATTTCAGGCATTATTAACCCAGCAGCTGTCCGCTGATGTTGAACAATTTTACAGGTACCTTTGATTTTATAGAATTGGTATAGGAAGTGATTTGTTGGATTGTTCCAGGTAAGGAATTCAATGGAAGCACCATCAAGGTACAGATGGCTACCAAAAGGGACAATTGGAGTGCTGGCCGTGGCGGTGGTAGAGGTGGAGGTGGCAGTATGGGTGGTGGTGGACCACCTGGACGGGGAGGTGGAGGACGAGGTGGAGGCAGGGGCGGAGGCTTTAGAGACGGAGGAGATAGAGATGGCGGTGGACGCGGCGGCGGAGGTGGTGGAGGTAAGTTAGTAGAGTGACGAAAAATTTACCTTTCCAAATATTCATGGCTCTAAGTAAAACCTAACAGCTATGTCGCTTTAAAAAAAACCATTGACTGTACTTTTAATAAAAGATTGTGTTAGGTGAAATACCGGACAATTATGTATAGTGTAAAAAAAGGCTTATAAGTTATCCTGCTCTTTCTTTTTTAAATTACTGTCCTCTAGAAAATTTCTTATTTAACAGTCAAATTGTTATTTTAAAATCAACAGTTTTGATGTTTGTGCATGATGGGTTGCCTACATGTTATGATATTTTTTAGCCTACCTAGGAATATTCAGTATTTTTAAAATACGGATTTCCAAATATTAAAAATCTACATATCAATCTACGTTGTGAGTGGTGAAACTTGTTAATGTAACATACATTGCTAATAAAAACTACAGAAGTCATCTTCTCGGCAGAAGGTAATGAGATGGTATTTTCCTAGGATTCGGGAGTCGAGAGGGAGACTGGAAGTGCCCCAACCCTGACTGCAACAATACCAACTTTGCATGGAGACAACAATGCAACCGCTGCAACACTGACAAGCCAGGTGGTGGCGGTGGGGACGGAGGTAAGTGTCACTTGACGTTTCTATGAGAAAAAATATGTCACCAACAATGACTTATTTAACTCACCCATAATTTCTTAGGTGTTGAATTACGCTAGTGTTGCTGTGGCACAGATATCAGTGTTAAGGAAAATATGTTTTTATTTCACTTGCTGGTCATATTTGTTTAATAAAATTTTGAGATACCGTAATCAATTGTGGGAAACGATAGAGAAAACACAAGCACAGATTTTTTATGAGTGAAAGTGCTAGTCCCGCTACTAGCTTGCGGTTCCAAACATAACAAACCTAGGAGAAGAAATAATGGGGAATTTTGTACTTTCAAAAGGTTTATTTTGTGTAGTGGAATTGCCAACTACAGTATCCCAGCAGCAATTAGGTGTCAGCTGAATTTTGTTGTAAGATTCCATAAGTGTTATGTATTGTAAGTTTATATATAAAATCTTACTAATATTATAAATGTGAAAGTTTGTGTGTTTGTTTGTTTGAAGTTCAATCACGCATTAACTACTGGACGGATTGGGCTGAAATTTTGCATGATGATACCTCATATTCCCGATTAACATATAGGCATATTCTTATGTCAAAAACCCTTTCGGGCTCCGCCCCAGTGGCTCTGTAGTTCCCCATGTTAACCTTATGAGTATTCATATTTAAAGGGAATTAAAGAATTTAGTCAGCTGTTTCAACTAAAAAAGTTGGTTCTATGATATGGAAAGTATTAAAAAGTTATGAGATTTACCAACAGGGTGCAGCACTATTATTTTTTTGCATTTATGAAAACAGCTTATTTGAACTAAGTAGCAACAAAAAACAGTGATTGGCAATGAGAACTGTCAAAGTAGGATTGTTTACTGTTATGTTTATGTTTTTAATTGCATGAATAATTTGTGATGTTTTGCAAAGTTTTAATTATTTATTTTTCTCTATTGTTTAGGTGCAGTGGTAGTAATGGCTATGGTAGATGTGTAATACTATAGTATAGCGTAAATTTTATTATAGTAAACAATTTTGTTCAAATGTGTCCTACCCCATTGCAAAAGCTAAGTTAGAGTATAACACTGCAATAAACATTTTGCACTTATATGCCAACCCCGTACGAAGGACGGGTACTCAGCTAGTAGTTAAATAAATGCAAGTTGAAAAATGAGCCTTTTTTGTCACTAGTTTATTTACATAAATTGAATCACATTTTTGAACTAACAGATGATTAAATTATTAAATGCATAGCATTTTAAACATAGAGATTCAACAGTTTCTTCCCCACTAAATTTGATTCATAAGTCCAGTCTTTTTCGTTGCTTTCTTGTTCTGGCTGATTTGCGAGGAACATCTGTTGAAGCATTGTCATCTGTTTGAGGATTATTATGTTCACTGGGTTGAAGCCTGATTTCTGCATTTTTAAGTTGATCATTATTATCTTCTCTGCGTTGGAGCCTGATTTCTGTATTTTCCAGATCATTGTCCTTGAATGTCACGTTCTGTTGTTGCCAACTGGTATTTTCTTTAGGAGATGAGCTAGAGTGTGTATTGTCCGTTGTTTCTGGCACTTCTGTTGTTTCTGGCACTGATGTTCTCTTCAACTGATCGATGTGTCTCTTGCCAATGTCACTGTTGTCCAGTTTGACTTTGTAGTGCAGAGCTCCAAGTTGAAAAATAACTTTTCCAAACTTCCAGCCGTCTAAGGGACGTACTAATATTCTCTCCCCCACTTTAAATGAGCGACTTGTTGAAAACCTGGATGTAATGATGTGTTTTTCTTAGGTGGTTTGAGAGCATCTAGTTTTGTTCTGATCTTTCGATTCAAATACAGTTCAGGCGGTGATTGTCTGCATTGTAGAGGTACAGCTCGGTAGCGAAACAGTATATCTTGAATTTGTGATTTAATATTCTTTTGAGGATCTTCAGCACAATTTTTCAACGATGTTTTTAACGTTTGCACATAGCGTTCCGCTAACCCATTGGTTGCTGGTTGTCCTGGGGCAATAAATTTTTGAAATATGCCTCTTTGTCGGCAAAAGTCTGTAAATTCTTGGCTAGTAAAAATGATGGCATTATCAGAAACTAGTACAGCAGGATATCCATGTGTAGAGAAGATATCATTTAGAAATTCTATTGTCGTAGCTGTGGATGGTGCGCTTTTGGTTATTCGAACCTCAGGCCATTTAGATATAGCTAGGCGTATCCAACATCACTCCTGATGTAAGAAAGATTGTAGCTGATGATTTTAACACGTTTTTCGCTTCTGTTGGATATAACCTTGCCAGTTCAATAAATAGCAGCGGTCCGCCGATCATCAACGACGCAGATTACAGGCAGGACACTGTGCTTACACTCCAGACAGTGACTGAACTCGACGTTATCAGACATGTCTACTCGTTACGTGGTGGGTCTGCTCCCGGTTTTGATGGTGTCTCGGCTGATGTTCTCAAAGAAAATGTAAATTCACTCTCTAAACCATTATTGCATATCATAAACTTAAGTTTGGCTAGTGGAATATTTCCGGACAAGTTTAAATTGGCAAAAGTTTTTCCTTTATACAAATCAAACTCCCACAAAGACAAAAATAATTTCAGACCAATATCTTTATTGAGTGCATTCTCTAAGGTGCTTGAAAAAATAGTTAAGGAACAAATGGTGGATTACTTGAACCAGAATCAGATCCTAGCAGACTGTCAATATGGGTTCAGAAAAGATAAAAATGTTACAGATGTTCTTTTTCATATCAACAAAGAAATTTTTAATGCTCTATCTGAAAACTTGCGCTCAGTATTAATTTTTTTAGATCTCAAAAAAGCTTTTGATAGTGTAGACAGGAAGCACCTAATTTCAAAATTATCTGCTATAGGTGTAGGGGGGAACGCTCTCTCATGGTTCGAAAGCTACCTCAGAGATAGGCGGCAATTCGTATACATTGATGGAGTCAATAGCAATGAGGTGCCTGTTGACTATGGGGTGATTCAGGGGAGTACCCTTGGGCCTATTTTATTCCTAATATATATAAATAATATTTCTAAATTACCAATTTTTGGAAAAATGTTTCTTTTTGCAGATGACACATTGATTTATGTTAAGGATAAGACATGGGAAGGTGTGAAAAGTAAAGCTCAATCAGATCTCAAATTAGTAAAAAAATGGCTCGACCAAAATGTACTATCTCTTAATGTTTCCAAAACAAAATTCATGCCTATTTCTCTCGCGTCAACAGCTGACTATAACCTAACCAATTTGATCTTGCACAGTTGTCTCAACCAATTCAATAACAGTTGTTCGTGCGATACCGTAGAGAGAGTTAACTCATATAAATATTTAGGAATAATTTTTGACTCACATATGAAATGGATAGAGCATATTAATTTCTTGCAAAATAAAACTAGAAAACTTATTTTTGCATTTAGACAGTTAAGTGATGTTCTCAGTTTTAAAGAAATTAAATCAACATAATTACCATAATTACCATCCTCTTGACCGATGACCATTTCTGGATAGGTCGCGTCAGTAATGATACAAATATCATAAAACTTACAAATAAAAAATACTTCAACATATAAATAAATAAATTAACTTGAGTGTCAGGCGGCATAAAAAATATTAAAAAACTAACTGGGCTTTGAAGTAATCCTCCAAGGAATAAAAACTCTGTTGGCAACACCACGACTTTAACTTCTTTTTGAACAGTTTCGGCTCCAGGTTCTTAATGTTCTCAGGCAGTCTATTAAACATCTTACAAGCCAGTAGTGGGAAACTGTCCTTCACTTTAGAAGTGCGGCATCTGGGAATAGAGATCAGGTCGTTGTTTCTCAGATTGTGACCGTGAAGCTGCCCTCTCATTTGAAAATCAGCTAAATTTTCTTTTACGTAGAGAAGGGAGCTCAACACGTAGTTCCCATAGACTGTCAGGATGCCAAGCTCTTGAAATAAAGGTTTGCAGTGTTGCCTATACTCAGCTCCTGTCATAATCCTCAAAACCATCTTCTGGTACAGAAGTACTCTCTCACATGCTGCAGAGTGCCCCCACAACAGCAGTCCATAGGAGATGTGTGTATGGAACAGGGAGTGATAGATGACGACAAGATACTGCAAAGTTACCAAATTTTTCAGTTTTCTGATCAGGGAGATTACTCTTGACAGTTTCTTGCACACAACGCTGACATGATCATTCCAAGAGAGCTTGCTGTCTAGATAGAATCCAAGCAGTTTCACTGGCTGATTTTCTACTTCAACTCCCGCGAGGGAGCAGATGAGCTGTTGAGTCTTGTCTTTGTTTAGACTTAGTTTGTTACGCTCGAACCATGTACTGGCTTTACTGAGGTCGATTTCAGCCCCCTGGAGCAGCATCTGAATGTCATTGTTGCGAGAAATTATTGTTGTGTCATCAGCAAATAAAAGGCAGTTAATATCATTTCCAAGGTCATTTATCATGACAAGAAAGAACAGGGGGCCAAGTACTGAGCCCTGTGGGACACCATGCTCAATTAGCTTTTTACTAGAGCTAACTCCCTTCACTGTGACAAATTGTTGCCTGTTCTCAAGGTAAGACCTGAGTGTAGCAAAGACTGTGCCTCTTATGCCATAATGATGGAGTTTATCTAGCAGGATTTTGTGAGAAACACAGTCAAATGCTTTACTCAAGTCGCACAGGGTGAGTGCAACCGCTTCACCACCTTCAAAAGCCTCATAGACGCAGCTCACCACATCTTTAACTGCTGTTGAAGTAGATCTTCCTGATCTGAAACCATGTTGTTTGTCTGAGAAGATAAAATTTTGTTCAAAAAAGTCTGTTAGTTGGATCTTGATTACGGTTTCGACTACTTTGCTCAGAATGGGAGTGATGGATATAGGCCTATAGCTATTTAAAAGTTGCGGGTCACCCTTTTTGTAGATTGGTACTGTCCGGGATATCTTGAGTTCATCGGGAAAAATACCTGTGGCTAAGCAATAGTTGACTACAGTAGCAAGAGGAGATGCAATGGTATCAATAATCTTAATTAATATTGTTGTAG